CACCTTAGCAATTTTCCAAATATCAGGAACAGAGTTAGATGTAAGACACGCATTGATGATATAAGTTATATATGGAATTAGAAATGGACAGCACAACAAAAGCATGTCAACACTTACTGTTTGGTAATTTATGAGAAAGGAGTACTTTAACATGTTTTTGTGGTGCACCTCAGAGCTAACCCCCCCCGGCCACCATCATTACTACACTAATACTTTAATGGCCCGTAACCTATGCAATTCCACCTGGCCCACAGTTACCCAGTCCGCCCCTGTTCCTCACGTGCCCTCACCTTCCTTATAGTTTTAGCAGGGATGGCAGATATATATCATGGTATATATCAGTGGTATATATCCACGATATATATCATGATATATATTGGTTGATATATATCATGATAAATATCAATGAAAATACGTTGCATGGTGGCAGACGCATGAGTCATCCTGTGGCAATTCGCCAATTCAGCGCGATACGTTTACTGTCCAAGTGAAGTTTAATCTTTAGTGCGTTTTTTTGGTGTTTAGTTCATGTTTATCGCGTAAAATATGCCGAAATGTAAGCAACGTGTGTGGATCAACATTAAGTGCCAGTCAAAAGAAGGCAACATAGGAAAATGGGCTATATATAAATCCAATTCAAATCAAGCATTAAATACGAGTATTAGCATTATTCGAATAAATATCGAATATATATCAAATATGGGATATATATCCAACGATTTGATATTTATATAAATATCATGATATTTGCCAACCCTGAGTTTTAGTACTCCCATATTTTTCATGAACTCGCGTGAATTCCGTCCGTTCGCCTGAGGCATTGCGATCTCAGCACTCGACAGCTAGGTACGGTTACTGACAAGTCTGCAGCACCCGAACGGGAAAGTTTTTCTCTAAGCAGATGTTTGTAACGGGGAATATGCTTTTACTGTGGGCTGCGATAACCCTGTTGGATCGCTCCCTTGCATTTCATTTCAAAAGAAATTCTATGATTTGACACCTAGTGGCTGCTGGAGGGACTTGCCAGTTCGTTGTGACTGGGATCGATCATAGTTTGACTTCGGGTAGTTACGAACGTGGGTTCGCTGTGCTGATTGAAAATCTCTAGATCAGCACAGTATGGTGAGCATTTGAGTCACACCCTATAATGAGTGTTTATTGTTTTTCTCACAGTGTTCTATCAGTTCTGCCATCTAGTTACTAAGGGCTGTAAGGTCACTAGGAACATAAATACATTTTTCTTGCCGTGTATCAAAGAAAACAGTTCCTTTTGTGCCCCCAAGACCAGAAACCCTTCATTTAACAATCCAGGGTTCTTGAATAAGGGGAAAGTGTTCGGCTTTGCAGTGAGGCGTCTACCTAAAGTAACAGCATTCGCCGTACAGGTTTATTAAGCCGCAGAGAAAGTGATGATGATTTATAAGGGAGTCAATGGTGTCCGTCTGTCTGTTTATCCGGGAACACAACAATTGTCAAACGCTTGAGCCGATTCGGTTCAAACTTTGCACAATTGACCTATATATCACATGCATCAAGCCCATTGAAAAGGATTCTGTAGGGTCACACAGAGATGCTCTGCCGCTTTTTTAAATCCGCTTTAGGGGGCTATTTGTATAAAGTTCTCTTTCATACTTATGTACCTATGTAGACAATACCAGTGTAATATCGTTTATCCGGCATTGCTAGAATCAGATACCCAGCAGCATCTCAATATTAGTCGTCACATGCTTCTGTAGCTTCATTGCCCATATAGCAGCTGTTGCTCTTGTTGTGGTGGTGGGCAGAGTTCCCGCTAAGTCATCATTTAAAAGAACCATTGATGAATTATTTTGACACTTTGTCAACACCTACAACACCAAATTGTTTATTATTGAAGTCAGAAAAAAGGCTTGTTATTTTTTACATTCTGGTGTAGTAGGCGTTGATAAAATCTCAAAATAATTCGTTGATGGTTCCTTTAAATAACAGATCTCATAATCATTGCATTCCTAATCAAAAATGCTGCTCAATACAGTATGTACTTTTTTCCGTCCGTACAAAAAGACGTAGTTGATGATGGTTTCTTAAACACGAAAAGTCGCAGTGAAAATCTGTAAGCACCATCTTGTAGAGCTTAAAAAGTTCTTATGAAGAAGTATTTTTTCATCAGAATATGGTTAATTTTGGTTTTTTTCAAATACCTTCGGAACTGATCGGAATTTCCGAATGTTTACTAAGCAACTCGTCTCTAATTTGACCGACCTTGACTCATGATTTCCCATGCTGCTCATTCTTATCTTGGACACACTGTATATGTAAAATGGAAAGTGGGCGATTAAACCAACTTGCTGTTGAAATTTGGAAGAAATTAGACTATTTAACCCCTCTATCAACAAATTTCTTTTAACTATTTATCACATAAGTATTCATTACACTTATTCACTTCTGAAATGTTTAATTTGTAGACCAACATTTTGACATTTTGGACGTTGGGTGGGGGGCAGATAGGTTTTTTTTTCCCGTTCCTCCGATCTCGCATATTTTCTTGGGATGTTCATTTGAAGTTTGATCTTCGTTCTTCACAAGCAAGTCGGAGTCCGGACAAACGCGCCAGGTAGAAAACCTACAGGATGTTCAAAGGTCAACACCGATGTATATGTATTTTACGGTGTGGCCCATAGATAGCGTTAATTAGAGCGAATATTAAATAAATCGAGGCTATTGTGAGTTAATTAAGTAATTGAACAGAAAGAGAAAATTGTATGGCGACGTTACTGTGGCGTATTAACCGAATATCAACAAAAAAACACCGGCCCCATTGTCGATTCTTGTGGTACATCGCGCGTGGCATTTTGTAAAGGTATTAATAAGATTTCATTCAGGATACGTTTACCTTATCGGAATGGTTTAGCCTGTTGTTTGCGCTTATCTTTGGAACATCCGCGATAAGTAAAGAAAATTTTGTTGACCATGTGTAATATTTCTCAAATTGTATTTTTTGGGTAGCCTCAGTTGAGTTTCGCGCGAGAGCCTTCCAGGTTACTATTTCGCAATATTTTCGGGTACTTATCAATATGATGATAATAAATTTTTTATCTTAAAAACGTAGATATAAACGCGAAGGCCGCAAGGAAAGATACTTTTTTTGGTTTAAGTATTTTTGTTGTATTTTTCTATTGTATAAGAACGCCCATTACGCTTTATCGCTGTGATAAAAAAATCTGCTATGTGACAGCTGTTTGCGGCAGTGTGTTTTAAACAGTGTTTCCCAACGTGTGAAATTAAATTATATAATATACTAGTTACGTAACTGTACCGGCTAATGCACACGTACATTCACCACCAGGTACGTCTTTTTTAATTAAAAACATTCTGGCCATCGCGCACCAAAGTCATACGCACAACAAAAAGCTTTAAAAATAAACGTGGCTATAAAACAAACGATTTTTTTTGCGGTTTATCAAATTATTTTTGGGAGACCGCACGTGTTTATTTACGCAGCGATATAAATATAAAATTCGCTTTCCGCTCTAGGTGCGCTATTCAAAAAATTATCCAAAAAACAGTCCGGTATTTTGAATATTGAACTATTCGCGTTGCTCACTCTTAACGTAGTATGATGGTGATCTTCTTCGTCGACCCTTTGCGCACGTGACATGTGGATCAAGGCCTCTGTCGAAAAATCGTTGTGATAAACACCCACTCTTGCAATACAAAATGTTCGCAATTTTTTTATTAAAAGAGAACGACCATAAATTTCGCGCGCGTGTAGGTAGGCTCAAACTTGGCATCAATATCGACCTATTTTTTAAATTCTTGCGCTTACCTACACGATCGGAAATGAATTGATTTTTTACGCGATTAACATTTCGCGATCTCCACGCGTGTAATACAGGCAGCACGTGCGAACTTGATTACCTTGTTGTGGATTTTTTCTATAAATAAAACTACGGTCGATATTTTCGTAGCTTACCGAATGCTAATTTTTGGTAATTTTAATCCTTGTTAATTCAGTACGGCTTCCGCATTTTGAAAGGAGCACGGATGGAATGTCGTTAAATCTGATATTTGCAACGACATGTCGAAATGTTTTCTCTAGTGGCGCTAAATGAAACAGAAATAGTCGCTTTGTAGTGTTCTCTTAAGTAACATGCGCATATTTTAAAATACTCGTGACAACGTGCCACCCTGCACCAACGCGTCCGAGGATTGCACTTGCTGGTAAAAAGCGCAAAAATTTTTTTGTACAATTTACAAATGCACAAGGATGTATCGGCAAATGATAAAAATTGGCTATCTCCCGTGCCCTTTAAAAACGAAGATAATTTTTTGCTTCTTGAAGTTGCGCGGGTTTCAATTGGGAAACTCTTGCATCATTTCCCGAAATCATATTTACAAAGTCATAGGGTACCGAGATAGCGATAATCACTGTCTACACACTTCAGGAAATCGTGGCCAGAGTCAACCGAAGGGATGAGGGTGCCATCTACCGACGTCCCCAATTTCAAAAATCTCCAAATGTATTTAACGACTGCAGTCGAAAAAATCGAGCTTTTCACACAATTAAATTAAAATGAATTAAATTTTCGTTATCTAATCTTGATGATTATTTTTTAATTTGATATCGGGTTGTTATGAGAGAAATGTAATTGTTTTTCTTATCAATCGGCAGATCTTGGCTATTTATGTTGTGTTTTTCTCTGTTTTTCACATAATACCAAATGTTGTTGAGCAATTCCACTTTAGAGACCCGAACGCGCCAGGTACGGCCTACGTGCTGGCATGATCGAATTGTGAGTCGAAAACCATATATGTAATAATTACATTATTAATTAAATCGTAAATTGAAGTTTACACCAAATTATAAAACAATTGCTCCTTACAGCCTTATTAATCCATTCATACTTTTTGTTGTTTTTTGTAATTACATTTGATATCTCAATTTTGTGCACTGTAACTGCCTATTAAATTTGATTGCTGATTAATTACAATCATTATAGTAATGGTGGCTATATTTGCAGGCGAGCGACTTCTCCGATATATGCGATTGGCCAACGTTGGGCGATCATTCGGCCGAGGTACGTACGTCCGTTGCGCCAGTTTCCCGTAATATCACCATATTTGCAGAGAAAACAAAGCAGCCCCATAGGAAATCCCCCTGTCTTAACCAAACAACACTCCAGCGAACCGGAGCCCGAGGGAGCCGAACCTTCGGATAGGAAAAAGAAGTCGCTCAAAAACAAATGGGTACCGTTAGAGATTGACCTTAGTAAAGGGAAACGCGAAGCACAGCAGAAACACAAGGCCGGTGATGCGCAGTCGACCGTAAGCGATAGTGACGTAGAATTTCGGGCCGAAAAGGAAAAGGATAGTTCGGAGAAGGGAAGTAAAAGTACAACGAGGCCCTCTTCCGCCGCGACGCGAGGTAAAGGAAAGAATCGCGCGCGAAAAACTCAACTGAATCGACAGTCCAGCAAAGCTCAGAGCGATTCTGATTATCTCGATTTTCCCGCTGACTTCCTCGAGGTAAGTTACGCAAACCACCCTCATTTGACCCCGGGTCTATTTATGTCTTGACTTGAAATTTGCATATCCTGTATGAAGGCCAACTAACCATGTGTTTTATGTGCCTTTTAAAAAGGTTGTACTAAAATAACCAAAATGCACCATAGTCAATCGACATAACAGTTCTTTTCTGACTTTTTTAAGATAGCGATGTAGTACAGTACAACCCTGATTATCACTGCCGTTATTTCCCTCAGAATAGCGTAAGTAAGGAAACTCTCTATACGCCACGAGGAAGACTGCCGCAGAGTAGCTTCAAATGTGCCAGTTATTAGTATGGATGTATCATCCGCATACTAGCCCACTGTAGCGATTCTTTAGGGATAGGAAACGGGATTGACTGGCTAGTCAGGGAAGAGTGAAACAATTCAGAGCCACTGCAAACCCATATAGGGTGCCAAACAGGCCCAAAATCCTGCTAAAAATAAAATAAAAATGAAGGACCATATGAGTTTGCAAAGCTCCTGCACTAGTGGGTTCTGGCTTCTTGTCTGAATAATCAGCAATAGCTAACATATATAATCATTTAATTTCAATAACAAATTATTAATGTAACCAATTCTGTATCTTAGTAATATCAATATTATAACACTAAAGTACAAAACAATAATCAGAACAGCTGTTCCTGTAAGACTTTGTTTCAAGAGAACCAATACAGTAACGGAATTAGCTTTGGAATATAATCGATAAATGCAATAGCAAATCTCTTAACAATTGATAAATATGGACAATAGGCCTACAAGCAGAATACCCGCTACACTAAATACATGCAACAATACAAGGGCATAAACATACACAAAAAAAATGTAGGCTTAAATTAATGTTGAATGACCAACGCATATAGTTGATACAGTCATTAACAACAAAGGCACGTTTACATAAATAATGTTACCACATTTATGTTTTCTTAAATGGCAGACTCAAACTCGAAGCAGGTTACACTGTGATTCGGGATGATGGATGGGAATCCACCACACTTGCCCAATTTGATGGTGTCTTAATAGATCAAGCTACTAGTTTGTAGTAGTACTCAGGTCTTAACGATACCGTTTCGGTGCAGATAAGATATCCGGGAAAGTAACTAAATTGGGGAAATCAAACATATGCTGAAACGATTAATCTTGCTTACCCCAATAACTGGGTTCCGATATAAATACAACAGGGTTCGCAAATGGTCTCTTTCTTAGACATTGGTCTCTTTTTTCAATGCTGGTCTCTAAAAGTCTCTATTTTTCATATTTGGTCTCTAAAGTCTCTAACTTTTGCATGTTAAAAAAGTATAATTCATAATTAATACACCGCAGAAATTTTACATTTTTAGCGCATTTTTTAAGAATTAAAAAAAATGCCGTTTCGAACTACTTCTAGGAGAATGGTAGGTAGTCCTGGAATTCTTTGCCGTAGGTAGCCTATACTTTGAAGGTGTGCCAGACGGCCACCAAATTTCGCTGTCTAAAAGGGCCCCGCCCCCCACACGAATTATTTCCTGAGATGCTGTTTTTGAAAGTAAAACGTACATAACTTTTACATACGACAACCAATTGGTCTCAACGAATCAACCGTTTTCTACCAACTACTGCTCTTCTTTCTGTCCTCTTATCAAAGTAGGGTGTGGAGGGGCAGGGGGGGGAATAGTTTTATCCTTCATGGTACTCTAATGAAAGGTCTCAACGAAAGGACTTAATTTTTACCAACCATAGCCCTCCTCCTCGACCTCTTATCGCGATCGGGTATATTCCCTTATACCTCGAGAACGGATTGTCGGAAGAGGGTACTCACAAAGGGCCATTGGGACGTCTGCAAGAAATATATCCATTGGTGATGTCAAAAAAAAGCTATTTGGGTTAAAAAAAATGCGTTTTATCCTCACAAGAGTTGTGCACAATTTATACTTGTTTAGATATTGCTTTTTATGTATCTCATATATTACAAAATAAATATTTTTTGCTTAATTTTGTATGGAAATTGGTTCTCGAAGGTCTCTAAATGGTCTCTATTTTTAAATATGTAATTAGAGACCAAGTCTCTATTTTTTTGCTAAAATCAGGTGCGAACCCTGATACAATAGGGCGAGCAATAGGGACTAGATGATATAATAATCAATCTCGAATTTGCCAGGAACATGTGATATAAACTAACCTATAAATAATGAAAAAGATTGTAAACAATGGCACTATGACTATCCTTACCTAGATTAAGGCTATCAAATCTCCATTCGCGTTATGACGCTTACATAATTAATTTAAACAATGGTAGTGTGATGACTCAGGATTTTCCAATTCAAATTAACAGTTTTCACAAAGATCAACCTGTCATTTCCACTATTTGTTAAGAGGAATATCTGTTACCTTGGGATTGCAATAACCCTTTTGGACGACTCCCTTGCAGTTAATTTAAAATGAAATTATTCTATGATCTGACATAGCCGCTTCTGGAGGGACTTGCCAGTGTTGGTTCTGTTATTAAAGATACTCGATGATGCAAGACTGAGGTCAATCAGTGGGGTTCTACTGTATATTTCTAAAGGAAAATATGCACAGTATATAAAGATAATAAATAAATACGAAGTATGTTGGGCTAAGAAATGTAATACTATATAGTCATTAAAAATCTGTACTCCCAAAAAAAAGGTAAAGAACAAAAATCCATTGAAAATCACTAGTTAGAAATATATTTCGTTGACTGCAATTGTCCAGATAAATTCTTTACATCAATAAAGACCATTTGTCTGTGCCTTGACACTTTTTACAGTTTTAAAAATCTACTTTACTTATTTTTGCAAAATTTAAATCCAAACCTAAATGCTCTTATTGCAAACCATAGGTGATATTGACAATATGTTTCATAGTGAGTAGCCGACATTTTGCAGACATTTTTAAGAATTGTCAGGTGGCCTGCAAGGTCACAGGCAGGTTGCTGCTATGTTGCTGAGACAGGCTAGTCTTTGAATGTACTGCAGGTGCTTCTGAACTGTTATTGCCCCATATGCCCTTTGATTATTTTCGGTTTTACCCTCAGTTCTGCCAAATATCCTTTTTCAGATTTACTTCAGGTAAACGGTAGTACCACACCTTTTTTGGATGATGTTTAGAGCCATTTTCAGTTTTTCCGACACTGTCGTATTACGCTTCTCTCTTGGATAAGGATAGCTCTCTTTTTTTTGTGAATAGTGTCAGGACTTGAATGAAAATGTTTAAAACATTTTAAATCAAAATCGCTGTTTCAAACGTTTCCTGTAACACATAAGTAACACGGGTAGTCTATACAGGGTGTTAATGCAGATAGTTCAGGGGGTGGTGTAATACTTGTCAAAATAAGAAAGAAATGCAAATATAGGTATGGTCTAAAGGGTGTCGTTTTTGTTATACAGGTTGGACAATGCATATATTTATATTTTTTTCTTATTTTGACAAGTACTATCGTCCCCTGAAATATCTACAATATTAATTAACACCCTGTATATCCAAAAAAGCAAATCAAAATTGAGTTTTTTGTGTTAGGGAGGGGTGAGAGTGGCTTCACTTCAACAGCTACAATGCGGGATACAATTTTTATTTGTAAAATGATGTAAATATGCACATGCATCGAAATGTCGGAAAATTTGCTATCTACAATATAACTAAGGTGACATTTTCCATTTTGGAAACTATACTTTGATATACCATACACCAAAATATCTATCCGTTTTGCAGGATAAATCTAATTACATTAAAAATGTGTATTGCATTACAGGCAGATAGTTTGAGTTCCGCAATTGATTCTGGAGGATTCGTAGTACCATACATGGGGACCTACTATTATAATAGCAACAATTATATTAATCTTGATAATCCTACGTTGAAGGACTATATCAAGAAACAAATGTAAGTTGACCGACGTCTCATGTTGGTGTGTTTTCACGTTTTTTTTACTCGACAGAGAATACTACTTTAGTGAGGAAAACCTAATGAGGGATTTCTTCTTGAGAAGAAAAATGGACTCGGAAGGTTACCTACCAATCACCCTAATAGCGTCGTTTCACCGTGTGCAAGCGTTAACGAACAATTTATCACTGGTTGTGGAAGCGATTTCTGCTTCTGACAAGCTAGAATTATATTCGGCAGCATTTAAGGTAGGTTCACGACAGCTTGTTCGAGTCATTCCCGAGTGTGATCGCATTAGTTTTATACGTTGTCAACTTTTAGGTTAGAACGAAACAAGATCCGTTAAAATGGCCTATATTAGATAAGGGCGACAACAATACGGATTTCATTTCGATACATCATTTAGTACCGCCACCGCCTTTACCGAAACCTTTGAGAGATGTACATATTGAAAATCTCAATCCGGATGTCGCCGAGTTTGTACCTTATGAAGTGCCGAGTAACAAGTCTGGTAAATTTGGCGTACGGTTTTCGATTCAAAGTAATTGACCGAATTTTAGAAACTAATGATGTCGATAAGAAACTCCAAAAGGTGGAGAATAAAACTCAGAAAGTTTCCGAAAATTCCGTCAAGGAACATAAAGAAAACGTTACGCCTATTGTTAGGGATGACAATTGGCACGAGGTGAAACGCAAAAATAAGGAGAATAAAACCAAAAAGGATATTAAGAAGGAGGAGCAGAGAGTTGAGCGGGAAGAGCTCGATTTCCATTTTGATGAGGAGCTCGATCAGGACGTACCAATAGGGCGCCAAAACACTTTTACAACTGAATGGTGAGAATGGGGTGAAAAACACAGTGAAATAATTCATTATCAATTTTAGGTTAGAGGATGACGATGCGGATGAAGTGAGCGATCGCGATATCAACAAATTGCTGATCGTCACTCAAGCGCCATCTACGCGCGTCCCTAAGCACGAAGGGTACGATCGCACCGGCGACTGGACTACGCGAGTAAAAATGACCCAGGAACTTGGGAAGACGATTAACGATGGTTTGCATCGTTATGAAGAGGATTTGCAGATAGATGATTACGTATGTTGACAACTCGCAATATTCATTTTCTATTGTGTGTTCTAGGATCGCCCAATTTCTGGAAGTTATAAGACTGTAAACTTGATAAGTCAAGAGGCTTTTGAAAAAATTGTTCCGCCAGCACCACGAAAACAGAATCCTGAAATTCCTCCGCCACCTCCACCTCCGCTACATTTGGAGGTAAAAATTGGGGCAAATGTTTGTGACAAGGTTTAAAGTTTATAGAACGCATGCGCGTTTGCACCACCATTGTTTTATTTCATATGTTCTTTTGTTTGCTCTCAAAAGTCATGAATACCCCTACACCAAATTTGATTAAATTCATATGGTCCAGCACCTTGTAGTAGCTATCTAGAGCGCTGTGCCATGTGTGGAAGAATGTGGGGTGGGTTGGCCAAATTGTAATCCTCCCGGTTTTTGAGTTTTTAAATGAACCTCTTCTCGAGCACGTTTATCTAGTAATTATTAATTGGCAGAAACGCGATTTTCTAACCAAACCGCTCTAGAATTTGGTGTGATGAAGAATTCCCCCAAGAAGGGAATGTTTTTTGGCATACACCACACTCTTCAGGTATCTAACGAAATAGTAAAAGTGAGTAATTCGAAACTGATTTCTTCTCAGATTTTAGCGTACATTTTAATGCCCCCGAGCCCTAAAAAAATAAGGCAAGCCCACCATTTTTCGTCATCCAGTACCATTTTCAAACAACAAATTATTAAGAATTGTTGAAATGAATTGAATCCCTCACTGTTTCTTTTATTCTTCGAGCGTGCACTAGTGGGAGGGTTACTATTCGTTTGCTTTATCATGCATTATAGCAACCTTGCATGTGCAGGACAATGACAAATCTGAAGAGACTGGCGAACATGCTTCGACGGCACCGATAGCTGCTCCCTCCACGACCGATAATAAACTTAAACGGCAAACATCGAGAACGGCCAAGTCAACTCGTTTTTACGCAGTTGTCAAAGACAAATCGCCCGATCTGCGAAGTCCACGTAAACGCAAGACCAAACACTCGATGAATCCCCCAGTTGAACATCACGTCGGTTGGGTTATGGACGCCAAAGAGCACAGATTGCGGACGTCTTCCGTTGGGTAAGTAATGAACTCTAATTTGGAGTATATAAACAAGCACGGTTTGGCTGTAAGAGGTGCACAAGTCTGAAGTAGGGTTCCCACGTTCTAATTACAAACAAAAAATGATTTCTTTATTAATAGCATCAAATGGGGAGGGGCTTAGGATGACAAGGGTTCGAATCTGCATTAAAATCTTGTGTAGGAATTTATATAGCGCAAATAAGAGATGAATTGATGAAAAAATACTTCCACCAGTTCATGGTACTTCAGTATTTAAGGAAAAAGGGAAAGTATGTAATGTTTTTCATTAGACTGCTAGTAACCAGTTGAGTTTCATCTCTTCTGTTTCTGCGAAAACAAATGTAACCCTATTGGAAGTTAAGTTTAACAGAAGGTGGTGAAGATTAAATTTGCAAAAAGCGGATTTTGTAGTCTCAATGATCGTTCCAAATTTCTGAGTGATAATAAGAGCACACTGGTGATGCCTATATGAGACCGCACGTAACGGCCCAAGCGGTGTACTGCTGAAAATAGTTTCCTATTAATTTTGCAATTATATTTGATGCTACACCAGCACATTTCTCATTTATCAAACGATAAAAAGCCCAAATGCGAGGGTAAGCGAATATTGCATAGGGTTAATTTAACAATCACAATGACCTTCGTCCGTGAATTTATTAAAATTAGTGGTTAAGGCTCCTCTATAGTCAATCCGCCATATTTGAAACAAGTTAATTATGCAAACATAAATAACGAGAGCGCATTTTCCTTCTATTAATGGTACGGCTGGAAAAAAATACCGGGAGGTACGAGATCCGTGCCCCATTCTCTTTCAAATAAACCAACAAGTGGTATTATGTGCGAGTTTTTGATATAGTTAAATTAAATGTGTCAATTGTAAAATAACTTAGTTTACTACATACGCGAAAAATACAGTTGGAATACTTTATTGAAAAATTCTTTAAAAAAACGGTAGTTATTAGTATAAATATCTAGTAGTGCAGTGTATACAAATATAAAAAAATTAACGTTGCGCATGCGTAAACAGTAATTTGAAGCCGGTATTTATTTTACTTTTATTCCAAGTGTGTCATGTAAATGTTTTCATAAATAAGAAAGCTGGCATTGCGCATGCGCAAAACCAATTTTTGAAACTGGTGTCTGTGTATCAAATTTAATTTAAATGCTTTCAACGGTGGCATTGCGCATGCGCAAAACAATATTTTACGAAGTTACATATAAAGTTTCATTTAAATAAGTTAGCATTGCACATGCGTTAAAACAAATTTTTGACATGGCGCATACGCATACGTAAAACCACATTTTAAAATCATTAGCTTTTTCAGCAACTTCCCCCTTCAAAGTACTCCCCCCCCCCCCCCCTAGAAGCTATACAAGATGTTTCCATTGCCGAAAGCAGCTTGTAAACTCTTCTGCAGAAATCGTCTTCAAGGCGTCGGTTGAAATCTTCTGCATGTACTGGACATCCGGCTCTTTGGGCCTTGGCTCACCTTCTTCATTGCGTGCTCTGCCGCTTTGCTTCTGGATCGTATTCGAATATCCATGACTTAGTGCACGTGATTACTCGTTCCAGTGTTTTCGGAATCAATTCCAGCCAGCCAATCCTGACAAACATCCACACGGCGCTGCTTCTGTTCAGCAGACAGGATTTTTGGAACAAGTTTCACACACAGTTTCCGCAACTGCACAAACTGGACAAACAGCGGTGCCTTGTTCAACATTAGAGGGTGTGCACATTTCGAGGTGCCGGTCACGTCCAGCATTGTCGTTCACATTTTTTGTACCACTGTACCGATCTGCACGAATCTTTGTATGGTAATTTGCAACTGTCTACAGTTTCACATGACAACATTAAGGGGTCGTCACTGGCGTGCTCAACACTTTTTTAAGCCCTTTCAAATAAGCCCCATATCGCCCAAATCGATTCAGTCGTGTAGAAGGAGTACGTGTGACGGACGGACGACAAAGTGCAGCCAATAGCGTTTTTTCACTTTGAGGAAAATATGTCCATACAGTTGGCATTGCGCAATCTGCGCATGCGCACATCTGATTTTTAATATATGTGATGTGTTTGACTTTACTAGAAGCATTTGCGGTTAAAATTTCAACAAAATACATTAATAAATAAGAAAAAATATTTTTAGGGCCATTGACCTTGACAGTTAACTAACCTTGATTTGGAATTGGAGAACCTTTCTGTCGATCTCCTTTTCTAAACACAACTGTTTCTCCTTCCTCCTCCATTAATTCGGTATCGACAGGTGGTGGATTACTTACTCTGGCTGAGAACGAGATCTCTGGCGGGATCGATGCCGAGGCCTACTATGGCATCGTGTGTGGCAGCCATGTTCGTGTCAATTGTGATCCTTTTCCTTCCGTAAAAGCTCCATAATTTGCCATCCATGTCAGTGGAGCTCCAAGAATCGGTAGGTCGATAGAAATTCTTTCACTCAACGAATATAGTTAGAAATGTGTATTGTTGGTGGTCTAAATAGCATTGAAATACAAATTGACTACAGAGGAGCCTTAGAGTTAGATGGTAGGAAAGAAATAACAAAAACAAATAATAGTGCGATGGGTATTTCGCCGCAAAATCATTTTATCCAAATGACAAGTATGAAATTGTTGTGTATGCGTGTTTATATTTCCAAATTGGATTAGGTTCGCTTTCAATACGTACTAATTATTATTGTTAATAGCAGTAGCATGGGTACTAGTCCAAATGAAAGCACTCTTGCCACGAGCGCCGGCAGTGTGTCGGGTAGCGTACCACAACAACTCCCCCCCTTCCAGCATCCTTCGCACGCTCTGCTTGAAGAAAATTCTTTCACGCAGCAAGCTTACCACAAATATCGGCAACGTTGTTTGAAAGGTATTCAACAATAAAATCGTGACAATTACGTAATGCAAAGTTTTAGATCGTAAAAGATTCGGCAGTGGACATTCGAGCGAGATGAACACACTCTTCAGGTTTTGGTCATTCTTCCTGCGAGAAAACTTCAATCGAACGATGTACAACGAATTTAAGACGCTCGCCCTTGAGGATGCAGAGAAGGGATATCGATACGGACTGGAGTGCCTATTCAGATTTTATTCCTATGGCTTGGAGACCAAATTCAGACCACATCTCTACGAGGATTTCCAACAAGATACGATTAAGGACTATCAAAACGGCCAACTGTACGGCTTGGAGAAGTTCTGGGCGTTTCTGAAGTACTACAAACATAGCTCCGACCTACAGGTTAATCCGACCTTAAAGCAGTTCCTCTCGAAATTCAAAAGTGTCGAGGACTTTAGGGTGGTCGAGGTAAGTACACATTTGTTCATTTTTCTACACTCCTACCTATATGTTGTCCTACTTTCAAGACTCTTTCATCCCTTTTTAAAATTCAATTTTTTTTGTTGTGTTCATTTGTTTTCTCATTTGCGTCATCTGTATTAACATTTTTGTTCTGTTTTTTCTTTTTTTGCTGTTAATTTACTTTTCCAGTCAAATTGTGGGTTGGGTAGGACTTCACTCAAGGAAACCAAGTGTATTTTTTATGTAAAAAAAATACACTGAATGGGACAATCATAATCCCCCAGGCCGGAAAATCTCTGACCATATTGTTATACATTAAAAAAAAACTGTTCGGGTTTTTTTCGAATTTGAGTGGCTCTGAGGGAAAAAATGAATAGAAATGGTTCTGTTAAGAATCGAATTTTCTATAAGATACACTTGATCCAGAACGTTCATTATGTTGTTTTTTTATGGAAAAATGTGGAACCCTAAAACAGCCTTTTCCAACATTTGTTTATAATACTAATAATGATAGCAACATTTTATACGAAGAACAAAAGGGTTGTATCAAATATTCCAGAACCTGTGAACACTTGAGGAATCCAGCCATTAATTTTTTCTCTCGGAATCAAATGCGAAAAAAAATATTTTTGGTTTTTTTTTTATAACAGTATGTTCCGGGAGTTTCCGGCCTGGAGTACTATGATTTTTGGATTCAACTGATTTTATTACTTGGTTTTGTTAAGTGACACACATCCGGTTTAGGCTACTTTTGGAGTTAATTTGACTGGACTATTTGTTTTTCTATATTTCTGTTGTGAAAGCCCCTTTGGATTTTACTGCATCGTCAGTGCTACAATCATTTAAACACTGAGAACGTTTTGCCTGCTTCTTAAAAATGATATCACACGATTCCCACACATTGTTTTAATTCACTTGCTCAGAAAAGTTAAGGTTCCAAATGGAATTTTTATAGGATCTCTCCGAATAAGTCCGTTCTTAACAAGAACCTATTTATTTCAGCCTCAAATTAACGAAATGCTGCGAAGACACAATGGCGGCCGATCGCAATGGCATCAAAAGAATCGTAACCGAAGTATGTCGGAAAGTGTCGCCATGCATACTAGTAACAGCTTGGGCCGGATGCGTAGCGGTAGTATACACTCACGTCAATTGTCAGGCGGTCGGCAACGGTAACCGTCTCGCGGCGCTTAAATGCGATTCTCATTGTTTTATTTACAGATTGGATTCGTTCAATGTTCAGTCGGGTTCGAGTGCACCTACGGGCAGTTATCGTTACGGCGATCGTACCAGAACACAGTCAATGTCGTGTCGTCCCAGGATGCGTGCTAATACCGATGTTACTCGTTCAAATATTGAATCGTGGAGACATAGAGATCCTGAAGGTATGTATTGGTCGGTTGTTAATCACTCAATGCCCTCATCTTAAGGCGGCTCTGCAGTCAATTAAGATTTCGATTCATTCACAAACCAAGCAATTAGTACCTAAGTAAATATGAATTGAAATGTCCCTTAACTCCTTTCTTTCTTTTGTAATTTGTTGAGCTGGCGTTATTTCGAAATGACTACATAAGTCATAGACAAATACCGTTACCGTTACCTCGAAGTATTTAGGCTTTCATTAATAATTTAAATCTGAAAATTTACATACTAACATAGTTTTTTATGATCTATCGAAAAAAAATATGATTTTTTCACTTTCGGTTATACCGGATGTCGATAGCAACGTTCTTAATTTAAATAGAACACCCTGTATTTTATTACATTTTCGAAATCTACATGAAAATCTACGTCGGTTGATAACACATTTCCCTATACCTAGCATCAAAGGTTTTCAAGTTACTCAAGATTTTTCAAAATTTTTGATGTTTGACTGCTATTCTTTTGAGTCCTGTATCTCTGTTGACTTGAATTTCAAAAGGAATTCCAAAATCGACAGTACTCACTTTATGCTGCGTGACAATGAGCGCCCTTCTACAGGGTGTTTAAAAACTAATGGTCAACTTTATTAACTTCAAACCTTAAAAAGTTGATTTTTATTTTTTTGCACTTTCAAATGTCGAAGGAATTTCTACATCAGTCTAGTATTACATTCCGTATACCGATCTGTTATGCTTTCCGTTTTATTTTAAGATTTTCCAAAATTGTGACCCTTATGCATAATTTTCCTCAAAATAAATGCGTTAGAAGACCTGTCAGACCTTTTTATAGTTATAGTTGATAGTGATGAATGATGATAGATGAATAAAAAGTTAAATAAAGATGAAAAACTTTAAAAAATGGTTTACGCACAATCATTCTGTTGGTTAATACCGAAATATTTGACATTGGCCCTTTTTTTAAATTCGATTATAAAATCAAAATCTTAAAGGAATGATTGGCTGTTTTGCGGATAGTTCAACATTCACTGCAGAGCCGCCTTAACAGAAGATGAGAAAGAGGAGAAACCGTAGTAAAACTAAGGTCTGTATACTTTATATTGGTCTGCGTGACATTTCAAAGATGGTGGAATGTTCAAGATACTTGACGAACTATGCAATTTTGGTACATATTCATTGTGCATAGATAGCGAGTAGATTTTATACACCGGGATAATGGTAATTTACAGGGTTATACTGTATTATTACTTTTAAGAATCTATAATAAATAAAAATAATAAACCGTGTTCACGCCGTATCCCTTATGTATCTATCGCATCAAACTGGTGAGCGATATTCTGCAGGTGTATAGTAATTACCTTTGCCATGTTTGGGCATTGTTTAGGTATGTATCTGAAAGGGATTTCTCTTGGCCCCTTTTGTTAACAAAATTTTTTACCCGAAGCGGTGCAATTAACGGTTCCATAGATATGCCCTGTGACCATTATTAATGGGACACCCTGTACATAACCTTTTCACGTACACACACACTATACCCCAGCATACACATGAGTTCAGTCACAAGCTCAGACATGAAAATTTGTATGATCACTCGCAACTCATTTAGATATCAGCATCTGATGCACGATCCATTTGAAGGTAAGCCCCTGGTCGAATGTGATGCCCAAGTATTATCCTTCTCTCACTACCTGTAGCTTGCTGCCATACATTGCAACGTCCTTTAGCTTTGTCAGCTGTTTTCTATGTGAGAAGAGAACGAGATTTGTTTTTCTGGATTAACAGACAAGCCCTCTCCCTAACATGTTTCCTCAAATCTGCCAAATATCACAATCACTATGTCATCGGAATAGGTATCTCTGGTGTAGCCCACCTCACTTAACCTCCTTAGCAGTCTGTCTACCACCAAACACCATGGCAGCGGAGAGAAAACTCCCTCCGTGGGCATCCTCGTTTAGCCCGAACCACTACAGGGTCGTTGTTACGCGAGGCTCTAATCTTCCTATGTTTTACCACGGAATGTATTCATGTACACACAGTAGAATGTACTCCCTTGCTTTCTATAGCAGTTTTAATCGATTCTAAAGTCTCTTATAGGAGATCGCCCTTTCAACTACATCCAGTACTCTGTGGATAGCAAGTTCACAGGATTCTCCTGGTTAATGGTGTTTACTGACGGGTTCAGGTCCCAGAACCTCACTCCTTATGTGTCGCTCAATAAGTTTCTCGATTTGTTTTAGTTGCTGAGCCTCTATTTAGTCACGTATCCTCTTGATCCGGCCCTCTGACTTGGGTCAAATTTGGGTTATTTGTTGAGGTAAAGCCGAGACCACACCATACTGAGCTCATCAGTTTCGTGCAAGGTATACAGGGCCGGACTGGACTGTATGGATACCGGGAGATTTCCCGTGGGCCCTAATTCAATGCTTAATATTGTTATTTATAAGTAAATGGCTATTATTACAGCAGAAACTTGATTATCTGGGCATTGGTTACACAGATTACCTGTTTGCGTACAAATTGAGGAAGACGCTATTATGGCCAGTTTATCCGTCCGTCCGTGCGCCGTCCTTAACTACTCTTCTAGATTTCAAAATATTTGGTTCGTTCTTTTTGCATTCGGTATCTTATACCACCTCAACCAAGAAAAATCTTGGCGAATAATATGCATCTTTCTTATGTGTATATGTAGATATTTTTTTTAAATTTTAACCAAAGATTCTTCTAGCAAAGACAAGCATATCGCATATTGTAAAAATGAGATACACTTTTCTTCGCTTTGCTAGTATCGACGCGCTTATCACTTATCGCGGCTCCAACATAAACACACCCTAATTTATGACACGCCGCCAATGATATCAGTTAACTGGCATGCTTCAACTGCTGAACACACTGAAGTTTATTGACTTTTTGTTTCACTTTGGCGTTTGGAAATCGGCAGATTATATTACCTCGGTTATTATATGAAGTATACAGACCTTATTGTCAAACAAGGATTGGTTCTACTTGATTGGTCTTTTATTGAATTTTTTTTACAGACAAAAAATAGCTATTCATCAAGCAAGGAGTATAACTTAGTGTGTAGGGATAAATAATAATTTTTTTATAAACATACGAAATCAGTAGTAAACGTAGCTCATATACAGCACTGAGACATGTACAGATAATCAGCGATGTTATGTATATATTTATAATGTATTGTGTTTAACAGCGAGTGTTATTCAGTGCCATTGCCTTTATATTCAGGATTTTGATATTTTTTTAGTAAATTGAATAGAATATACGTACAGGGGGTAGTGGTCTAACTTCTATAAAAAAAGTAGTAATTTAATGTTACATCGACGATGCCAGAAGCAAGGTGTCACAGAATTTGTGTATATACATATTTTATTTATAATTTTACCATTTCCGGATAATTGGAAATTTTTGTTTTCTCGCTTCGTTGTGGTTATCTTACACACTTAGAGTCATTAGTTTTTAAAGCAATATTTCAAGTTTGTAAATGTAAGGGTACTATAATTATTGGTGATCATTTTTGATTAATTTTAATAATTGATTTTCGCAATTGGAGACTAGGCGACTAGTAATTATATGATTGATCGAAATTAGCTACAGTTTGATTATTGTAAGCATTTATTAAGTGACAGTTTATGAAGTGTTTTGAAAATTTTTGCATTTTGAATTTTGCAGTTACATGTGATATATGTGATATGCATCTTTCCAAAAAAAAATGTATTTTATAAGCTGTTTATAATTAATTGTTTGTTATGTTCATTTAAAATATTTTTATTTGTAATATACCTATTTGTAAGCATGTCGAACCTGCTTCTGCAATCAACGCACTCAACAGATTCACGACGACTAATGCTTTAATGTTAATCGATGCGTTGGTTATAGAAACATGTCATAAAAAATGAACAGTATGTATTTTCTAAGGGCGTGTGTTTTGTGGGTTTGCACATTTGACTGCTTTTGCTTACACTACCAGAAATTGTTAGAAAATAAAAAAAATAAGAAAAAAGATTGAAATAAATGAAGGGTCCACAAAATGCTGCACTTGTTACTTTACACATCTTCCAATAATAGTCCTCTTTTATTTAAAGTAACAGTAAAATTCAGCTTTATACAGTTTTTTGTTAAATTATTTTTACTCGTCTGTGTATATCCTTAAGTCTGATATTTACAGTGTATGTACTTGTATTTTTATGTTTTTGTGATTTGTATTAATGTTGAACCAAAATTTTACTTTTACTTTTTGCCAAATCCTGCTTTAAGAAGTTACTTTTTGAAATGTGCTATGGAAGTGTAAATGGTCTTCCAATGACACAGAAAATAAAATATACAGGTTCTAAAGGTAAATGTTTTTTTATTAATGGTTAACTGCTTAGTGGCATCTTTATTTATAGCTTTAGAGTGCATTAGCCTATATGCTTTGCTATATTTTTGAGCATAATCTTTTATGAATCTATGCACTCACTCGATTGGAGAAAATTTGGTGTTTATGGACCAAAATCTATAAGATATCCCATCAACCAGACAGAGAGAGTTAATTTTTGAACGAACTTGATGCACTTGCTTCGCCAGGTGATTTTATGTGCTTTGCATTCTGTAGACCTAAATTGTTTAGGTTTCGGTCAGTAGAATGCGAGCAGAGTGGATGTAAAATAAAGTAATTTGTCCTGGTCGAACAGACTTTGACAAACTTGTTTGACTCTGAATTCGATTCTTAGACCATACAGACACTATGGTACAACTCACATACTCGACACCCAGGTGATGTCTTTCACCATATTTTAATCTCATGTCACAGTATATAGTACTCATGTACTGTACGGACTAAGGTGCCAACTATAAGTACTCGTGCTACACTAGTGGTTAATATACCTGGTGTGCATATAATTTATGCTGATATGTCAACCATAATGGCACTTTTCCAAAAATTACCTTAAATATAGGAGAACGTTTGAATTGCAATAGATTTACTTCGAAAATAGCAATTTTATCTTATGTTTACTTTTTTTCCCCCTTGATCCTTAGATCAATTTTGGATGCTCCAAGAGGGGCAGTTTGTTAAAACTCTGAGGGCTGAGGTGGTGTGTTGCAGCCTGCTTGAAGCAGATATATGCTACCCCTATTTTATCGAGATGATACTCCTAAGGCCATTGAGGGAGCGTAACACGGCCACCACCCTTGCTTCGACATGGAGCAATCTGTGTACCAGCAGAAGACTCCTTTCTTAAATTCTGGGCTGTTCTCAGAGCCACATTCTATAAGAAAATATTTTTTTCCGGTCGATCTGAGACTTTTAATTTTTTCGGGCCAAAAAAAGGCCTTCCTTTTTTACCAAAAATCGACTGCACCAAAATTTCTCGGGAAAACACATTTTCGTATTAATTTTGGTGCGTAGAATCCAAAACGAGTCGTACTTTTTCGATTAGACGTCTCAATCAAAAGTTATGGGCAAAAAACCAATTTCGACAAAAAATTCAAAGGGCTGTAACTTTTGATCTAGTAGCCCGATCTTGGAACTGTTTGAAATTATGGATTTTACAGGCCATATTCTATTTGATAGAACTACGGTTATAGAAACGGTAGTGAAATTGGCAGCGAAATAAGGCAAAAGTGTTGCGCAGTTTGCAATCACGAAAAAATGTGTTGTTTGTGCGATCTTCGTGTGAAAGTTGTTGTAAAACGGTTCAGTTTAATGTACCTGTTATTGAAATTGTTCTTCCAAGGGCTTTACATAAACTCCTATGCATAAGAAGTTAAGAATTGCAAAAATAAATGTTTTCTGTTCATTGAGCATGATGTGTTGCCTACAAACCAGGCTACACAAATATCGAGTGCCCATATTCAAATTAGGGATTTGCTTGAATCTCCCCAATCTGCCGTGTTTATTGAGGGTAAGGAGGGCCTCCACGAACGAATGGCCCAGAGTCCCGAAAAACTTAAAAACGGCACTGCGTTGCTATTAATCACATAAATTCAAATAACATTTTAAATGAAGGTGCGTACGTGGCGACATCTCAACTAGACTTCTAAAACTATAATTGATAGAAAGTGTATCGATTGCCATGGAGATGGCGCACTAGTACTTATTGTATTTAATCTATTCAAAAACCGGGCCTTTAAACTACAAGTGCTCTACAGATCTTGCAAGACTCCGTTCATTTTGAACTGCCATTTAAGAAATAATAAGTGCGACATTTCTATTAATCGCATAAATTCAAATGAAATTTTAAAAGAAGTTGGGTACGTGGCGACATCTCAACTAGACTTCTAAAACTATAATTGATAGAAAGTGTATCGATTGCTATGGAGATCGCACTAGTACTTTTTGTATTTAATCTATCTATTCAAAAACAGACTTCTCAATCAAAAGTTATAGACTAGAAACCAATTTCGAAAGAAAATTCAAAGGGCTGTAACTTTTGAACTAGTAACCCAATCTTAGAACTGTTTGAAATTATGGATTCTACAGGCCACGTTCTATAAGAAAAATTTTTTCCCGGGTCTATCTGAGACAATTTTTGTTTCGTGCCAAAAAAAAGGCAGTGTTTTACCTTCCTTTTTTACCAAAAAACGACTGCACCAAAATTTCTCGGGAAAACACTTTTTCGTATTAATTTTGGTGCGTAGAATCCAAAACGAGTCGTACTTTTTCGATTAGACGTATCAATCAAAAGTTACGGGCAAAAAACCAATTTTGACAAAAAAGGGCTGTAACTTTTGATCTAGTAGCCCGATCTTGGAACTATTTGAAATTATGGATTCTACAGGCCATATTCTATAAGAAAATATTTTTTTCCGGTCGATCTGAGACAATTTTTTTTTCGTGCCAAAAAAAAGGCAGTGTTTTACCTTCCTTTTTTTACCAAAAAACGACTGCACCAAAATTTCTCGGGAAAACACTTTTTCGTATTAATTTTGATGCGTAGAATCGAAAACGAGTCGTACTTTTTCGATTAGACGTCTCAATCAAAAGTAATGGGCAAAAAACCAATGTTGACAAAAAAGGGCTGTAACTTTTGATCTAGTAGCCCGATCTTGGAACTGTTTGAAATTATGGATTGTACAGGCCATATTCTATAAGAAAATTTTTTTTCCGGTCGATCTGAGACAATTTTTTTTTCGTGCCAAAAAAAAGGCAGTGTTTTACTTTCCTTTTTTACCATAAATCGACTGCACCAAAATTTCTCGGGAAAACACTTTTTCGTATTAATTTTGGTGCGTAGAATCCAAAACGAGTCGTACTTTTTCGATTAGACGTCTCAATCAAAAGTTATGGGCAAAAAACCAATTTTGACAAAAAAGGGCTGTAACTTTTGATCTAGTAGCCCGATCTTGGAACTGTTTGAAATTATGGATTCTACAGGCCATATTCTATAAGAAAATATTTTTCTGACCCAAAAAAAGCAAGTGTATAACTTCGATTTTCCCCCGAAGGCTCAATTTTCAAATGAGTATAATTTTTGTTTGAAAAGTGATTTTAAAAAACTGTTCGACAATTTTGTTCCTTACCTTATCAAATATGTACACAACAAATTTCGTGGAATTCTCTCCATTGTCGTTGTCCGGCCAAGAATTTAGTGGAGCTTTTTTTCGAATTTTTTAAAACTAATGCCAAATTCGTCATTTTCATGTTCAAATTTTTATTTGTGCGTTTATTATAGGTATGACATTTTAAAAAATTACATACAATAGCAATTAAAAAAATATAAAGAAAAACAATATTGTTTACAAAATTACAAACAAAAGCGTGCGTAGCATCGGTTTGACAATTGTAAATGAATTGTGTTAATCATACCACTAGAGCTCAGATTTCGCAGGATATTTTTAGGGGTTGTTTTTTAGTAATTAGTTTCATGTAGGTAAGTAATTTTGCTCCATAATTGTATTAACTTTTCATATTTGACAAACAATATGTACAAAAAATTAAAAAATATTATCTATCTATCTAAAACGCCCAGCTACAATAAAAATTCCATCCAGTTACAAATATCGTTACATTTTTTCAAAAGTATCGCGATATGTCACAACATTGGTTAACTACATTGTAAAAATACCCTTCCCCTTTAGGCAATGAGAATGTTGCGCCACTGGTTTTTGTAATTTGTAGGTCGGTATGTGAGACACAAAGTTGCCTATTTTTAATATCTCCGAATTTTGGAAAATGATTGTATGTTTTTTAGTTGCAAATGAAGATTCGGGAATAGGATTTACTTAGGTGTCTATTTGAGACAAAACGACAAAAATAAATTCGAATGTTAAAACTTTGAATGTAACTGATCATACCGCAGCGCTCCCTAACGAAAACATTCACTAATTACTTTGCTGTACCCAACTTTATTATTTTTGTGTTTGAATTTTGATTCCTAAATAAAAATTAGATTAATAGCCGCAATTAATTAATATGCCGAAACTACTAGAAAAGTACGTGAACCTTTCGAATGGGAAAGGAAACTATTTATCAAGAGAACGCGGAAACGGGGATTCATGGCTTGTTTTTACCAACCGAGCGTGTACACAAATGCAAATGAATACATATGTCGCATAAACTCCCAAAAGTGCTAGCAAAAATATTTATAAACTTTTTACAATGTAACTACTATTGATAAATAAGAAATGGCGCGCTCGAAATTTCCAGGCAAGCCATCAAAACCTGTCAATAGGAAACGAATAAATGTTCTAAATTCGTCCGAGGAAACTGTATCTAACTTAAACAACACCGAAACAAAACAGGTTAGAAGCCAGACTGTCTCTTCGTTCCTATGTAAATTGATTGTTATTCTTGTAGGAAAACTGTGATCCAGCTGCCAAAGTTGACACATCTATCTCGTATGCGGCGGTGCGACTTCCTCATAGACAAGCGGTCAGAAAAAGAGTGTGCAAGACCCTAATAGCTCGAAGGAATTCACTATCAAAGAGGAGACTGGTTAATAGTACAGTTGGCACAAGTTCACAAAAGCTAATTACCATAATTAATGAACGATCTGTTCGAACGAAGGCTGAGAGTAGATCTGAAAATGAATTATCCTGTAGAAAATTAATCAAAACGAAGCAATCACGTTTAGAGAGTAGTAATTTAGTCGGCAAATTTATACTTCCTAGTAGAAGTGTGCACTCGTCACGTGTTATTAAGCCTAATAAACGATTTATAAATGTGGAAGCGGTGAATAGTATTCAGTTACGGACTTTTAAAAAGAGAGTAATAAATAAAAAGAGTGCTTCGACTAATGGCACTGCGTGTAAAGTCAATTGTAGCGATAGTGAATGCAAGGACGTTGCGGTACACGAAAATGTGGACCTGTCACGGTCACCTTGCTCTAGTAGGAGAGTGGTGTTGCGTCAAGCTCGACTTCAGCTACATACTCAAACACCGACGGGACCAGAGGGACCGTTTTCGATGAGCTCGTCAAACATCAGTCCTCCCGGAACTGTGACGTGCGGTGTTTGTGGAGCAGTACGCTTTTATCGTTTCGTAAAGCAAGCGCGTAAATTTAACATTTATAGTTGCGAATCATGCCGTAAGTTCATTTCGAAAATGATCAAATGCCAAGTGAGCAATAAGAAGTTGCCGGACATTCAGTGTCTAAAGGGACAAGGCAATTGCCATGTTCCGCCGATTGTTCGAAGCCAACACTGGAAGTTTCGTTGCGCTTACAAGGCGAGGTGCAATGCGTGCTGGTTAAAAATGTGTCTTCGATCGTTCCAAATACCGCCAGTATTGAAAAACAATCTTATTAGTTTACTTCCCGAGCACATGCGCGAATCGGATACTTTGTTTAATACGTCGTTATTTTCATTTCACACAAGTGCAAATCCTTCTAGCGTTAAGTCTCCGAAACCGGAACCGGAATTGCACGTTCGTAGACGACCCTTACGGAAACGAGTTGGTAAGATAAAGGAGAAGTTAAATTTAGTTAATTCCGAAATAAAACGGCAGAAAATAGATTTTAAAGGGCCCAGAGTAAAACATGTATGTCGTAGTGCCTCAATCGTTCTAGGACAACCATTAGCCGTATTCGCGGATTGCGAGAAGAAACCGGACGATGTAAAAGTAAACGAGTGCGGGGACGATAAGGCTCTCGGGTATGTAAAGTAGGCAACACACATTGCAATCTCCTTGGTATTTATGACCAAAATTTGAAAATTTCTAAATCCTGTTCTAGACGGATTTTTGTAAAAGTTCCAGTTGTATCTCCAATACATCAGTTTTAGGTTTATGGCCCATCATTAGAAAAAATCTTACATATTTCTAATTTGTTATCATACTCGATGATTTATCACTCATTAGGAACAGTTGGGGTGGGGCTAACTTAGCATTAAGCTAAACCTTTGAATATAAAATTAGGAAGAAGACTAGCCTAATGGGAACCTGTGGTTCCGTGACAATCGGGGGAGAGGTAAGGTGTACCTCTCCCACTTTTATAATAATATAATCGGTTTTAGAGCGAATTTATGCTCCGAATTGCGTTTGCACTGAAGATTTCAATACTGTAATCTTTTTTTGGTACGTATAATAGTCGCGCGCACTTTAAATGAAAACGCTGCCGATACCAATTGGGATACACAAAATTTTGTAGAACAAAAATTCGAGACAGTTAAATGTACTACAAAAAAGTCCGCGACGGCATATATCTATCTTTAATCGTTTAGCCATATCAACCATTTAAAGTTGCGCATCGTGATTGCGTTGGCATTCATAGTATCTTTGATTGCTTATCATATATTAAGGGTTGAAGATACATATATGCCATCGCGGACTTTTTTGTAGGAAATTAAATTCTCTACAATTTATCTTTTATAACTTTTTTTGTATCTCTTTTTGTTTTCTCAGCGTTTGTAAAAAATGTACGCACATCGTAATTTTGAATAAACTTTTTAGTTAAAAAAGAATCTGGCGTAGGTACGACTCGAACCCTTGACCTACATGTTGTTATAATTTCAGGTGCTTTTGGGGGTTCCGGTTGGGATGATCGAAGCGTTGTAAAAATTGAAACTGTCGTTATTTTTTTGACATTCTGCTCAAAGCGTAAGGGAAATATGCGAAAATGGGAAATGAAAAAAAATGATGTTCTTATTTTTATTTTTATTATTAGTGCAATTCACATATTATCGAGCTCCTTGCGGTATAATAAGGAAGGCCCTTTTGACATTTCCGTGAGTTATGGAACTGAATTGCATGAAATTCAATATGGGCATAGCTTTAGCAATGCAAAAGCAATGGCAAAAGTTGAGCTTAATCAATTCAAAATGCATAGTGCTCTTTTGGTATCTCGGCCATATATGAACCGAATTGCAAACTTTTTTTAATTTATAAATGTATTTAAATGACATTTGATACATATGCACTTGGAATAAAAGCAAATCTAACACCAGGTTCAATTTGGTTTTGCACATACTATAGCCATACCCAAGAGCTCTTTGCTGTATTTTTTACACAGTTATTTTTACCCATACTAATAATACACTATCAGAAGGGCACGAAGCAAAGCCCTATAATTCATCAAAAGTACGGTTTGGACTGGATGTCATTTCACTCAACAAAACCAAATGTACTCTATGTAAAAAAAATCTGCTGAATCTGAAAATCATAATCCCCTGGCCGGAAACTCTCGAAATATATAGTTATACAGAAAAAACGAAGAAAAAAATGGGAAAATGTTTTTTTTCGCATTTGACTGCAATTATCTCGTTAACTATCGCCTCGAGTGAAAAAATGAAGAGAAGTGATATTTTTTATGATCTTTTCCATTTTTTTTCCGGTGGGGTATTCAAGTGAATTTGTTTAGAATCGAATTGTCTATGTAGAGTAGACCATACATTTAGTATGGAACGTTCATTCTTAATTGTTATTGTTTTTTATGGAGAAATATAAAAAAAACGCATTTCCGGAAATTAACAATCTGTTATTACTGAGTAAAATTCATCCGATCTTTTTGAAAATCCGTATTTGGTCCCTTCTTTTGATAACAAAACAATACGACAAACCCGATCACCGTAAGTAGGTATCATAGCCATTGATTAAATAAACAAACAAATTGGATAACTCTCATAGCGTTCTAAATTTTTGTACAGATGGTGGAACCCCAAAGTAACCTTTTCCAAAAGTTGTCTCGATGATTTCTGCAAATTGACGGACGGATTTCGACGTATTTTTTTTAAATTTAGGTACATTTTCCGAGAGGTTTCTGTTCGCCTATTATGGAGTCACATTTCTTGTTATATTTCGGAAATTATTCCATTTGTTAACTAGCAAAAGTCTTCGGATTTTGAAAAAAAAAATTGACAGTCCGTCAATTTGCAAGAATCATCGGGACAATTGTTGGAAACGGTTTGCTTAGGGTTCCACTAGCGGAAAGAATTGGGGGAGAATCTGGGAGTCACCCACTTTGAAAGACAAAGCATGGATTTTTTAATTTGTGTTTTTAATTAATCAACGACTATGATACCTACGGTGATCGGGTGATCGGTTGCCGTATTGTTCCGTTATCAAGCTACGGATAATATAAAAGATAGGATGAATTTTGCTTAGTAACAGATTGTTAATTTTCGGGATTACTTTTTTTATATCTTTCCATAAAGAAACAATAACTTTTGAACATGAATGTTCCATACCAACTGTATCTTATAGAAAATTCGATTCTAATCAAATTCATTTCTCTTCATTTTCTCTCAGAGCAATAGATAACGAGATAATTGAAGTCAAATGCAAAAAAGACAAAATTTTCCCATTCTTTCTTCGTTTTTTACGTTTTATATCAATTATACAGGGTCCTATAACACTGCGTCGGTCTTTCCTAATTCATACCTGGTAAAAAAATAGCAAAAAATCTTTTGTGCAAATGTCAACTATAGAATGTTATGCATATACAGAAATTATTTTTGAATGTACAGAGTGTCTCATGTTTACGGTGTCAATACACAATTATTAATTTTTTTCGAATAATTCTCTATAAACCAGCCCCACTTTGATAAATCGTAGCGACCTTGATTTTAAAGTTAAGAAATAGAAATCAATAATTTTAATCTGAATAAAAGGCAACACTTTGGTAATGAGAAAGTTGAATTTAATGATACAGAGTGTTTACAAAAAAATTGTAAAATTTCTAGATTTCAAAATGCTATAACTATTTTTATTCAATGGAACTACCACTATTTTGTTTCTCTATTCAATGGTCTGTTGTGCGCTCTTCAATTCTTAGAAGGGATATCCTGTGTCTGAACCCCGTAGTTTTTAAATTATTCAATATTTTTCACTAAACAGTTACACATTAATGAATTACATGTTTATAAACAGGAGTAAACCGTGATAATAAAAAACCAAAGAATGCCAAATAGTAAACAAGTGCCATAAATTAATTGTTTGCTGCAAGTGTAGGTACTCATTATTTCCTAGTAAAATAAGATTTTTTAAAAAGACTAGTTCGAAATTCGCCTTTTTAATTAATCTTATTTTGCTACGAAATAGGGAGCACATTAATTGCAACAGATAATTTACTTGTGACACTTGCTTCCTGGAATTCTTTTGGTTTCTATTATCACGGCTTACTCGATCCTGTTTATAAACAGGTAATTCATTATTGTTTTGTGAAAAATATTGAATAACCTAAAAACTAGGGGGTTTAGGCACAGGACACTCCTTATAAAACTTAAATATCACACAAAACCCTATCACGTACAATAAAATTGCTCACAACCTTTGAATTTTAGATTCAGTCACAAAACGAAAGGTACCCACATTTACTTTAAAACGCTGTGAAAACGAAACTTCGGACAGAAAAACTCATAAAACATAAATTGTAGAGAATTAAATTTCCTACAAAAAAGTCCGCGACAGCATATACAGGGTGACAATTTGAAAACTTACCACCTCCCATATCTTAGTAAATAAACGAGATATTTAAAAAAATCAAAATCCGTTTCGGTAAGTCGAAGGGGGAATCACAATGACATAGTTGGCGACGCACCCCCTCCAACCCCCTGCGCCCCAGCCACCCCAACTTTTAAATCTTAAATAGTGACCCCCCATGTGTGATACGTCGTTGGAAAGCTCTGAAAAAATGCTTTCCAACCATACCAAATAGCATTACATTTAGGTTAGTAATTATCGTGCAAATCAAAAAATAAACTAATATGATACATTTGAAATCTGTCGTATTTAAAACGCAACCGGCGAACATAAACGAACTAAGACAGAGAATAATTCAAGAATGTCGAAATATTGCAAAACCAACATTTGAAAAGGTTCGACAAGAGTTTGAGAATAGATTATAACTGGCGATCAAAAATGAGTTGCTGTCGAGTCGGCTTTGGAAGTTCAAGTTAAATACGATTTTTCCATGTTTATTTTTTGATTTGCACGATAATTACTAACCTAAATGTAATGCTATTTGGTATGGTTGGAAAGCATTTTTTCAGAGCTTTCCAATGACGTATCACACATGGGGAGTCACTATTTAAGATTTAAAAGTTGGGGTGGCTAGGGCGCAGGGGGTGTGAGGGGGTGCGTCGCCAACTATGTCATTGTGATTCCCCCTCCGAATTACCGAAACGGATTTTGATTTTTTTGAATATCTCGTTTATTTACTAAGATATAGAGGGTGGTAAGTTTTCAAATTGTCACCCTGTATGTATCTTTAACCATTAATATATGATAAGCATTCAAAGATATTATTGAAACCAACGAGGACACTAGGTACAACTTTAAATGGTTGGTAAGGCTAAACGATTAAAGATAGATATATGCCGTCACGGACTTTTTTATAGTAAATTTAATGGTCTACAATTTTTGTTCTATGAAATTTTCTGTGTCTAAATTGGTATTTGCAGCGTTTTCAATTATGTACGCGCGCCTACTATCAACATAAGAGTACGGTAACAAATCAATGAGTGCAAGTGGGAGACTTCAGGCTATCTTTGTCCTACATATAAAACGCGCTGTAAGAAGGAAGAGCAGTGACTGCCTTCGGAAAGCGCGTGTATAAATCCAAAGGTACTTTTCACGTTCATTTCGTGGCTCCATCTATCGCTCAAGGTACTTTTAGAGACCCACGCGAAAGTACAGGCTTAGACTTCTTCCTAATTTTATATTCAAAGGCTAAACCCACCCAAAACTATAGTACTTACAAGAAAAAGGGTGGGAATTTGTTGCTACAAAATAAGACCTTGAGTCTAAACCACATATGTGATACTTGGATCATATTGAAATTTGGAGAGGGCCTCAACATGGACTCTTTTGTTGTGAGATACTCACAAAGAATGTGGTGAGCTATCCCTTTGCCTGGATTGCATCCTCTATAAGCGATTGAGTGATCCATAACGGCTGTGGGGGTGGTCCGCATGGCACACAACTTTCAATTAAACCTAAAAAATATGTTTATACAAAAGAATAGTGTACGTACTTTAATTTTGTGTATTATTTTTCCCATAATTACTAATTTATATTTTGTAATAATTATTTATTTATGTTGGAACCCTTAAAAACTGGAACCCGGAACTGGAGCATATATTTCATATGGGCTACAACCCCTGATAGCCACAAGTTCCATCCTTAGATTTGTTATGGTTTCCGAGAAAAAAATTAAGAAGAAACAAATATTTTCGGTCCCGAATGTTCAGTTTACTTGGTTTGGAAGAGCACAATTTTTTTAATTGAAGGGCGTTTGGCTTTTTTTTTATACAGTTTTACCCTGCTGTCGACAATGACCGCATTCTTACTTGTCTAGAAAAACGGAAGTCCACCACAACTTCAATTTGACATAATTTCCATGCTAGTTTTTGCACTTAAAAATTAGATTCTTTTTAGTATAAGTTTTGATTTGGCAAAATGCCATGTTAGTATTTTCTTCACCAACAAACTAATAGAACAGAAATCTGAAATTGATATGTGGATGGACTTGTATAGGGAGGTTCACGTGATATGTTAACAATGATGAAAATAACACTAGAAAGCTACGTTTGAAACTTAAGATGTTTTTATTTACTCCGTAGGACCCTTAACGGCACTAAAGAGAACAGTGTACCTGTCGAAAATAAAAAGAGCGAGTCGAGGCCGCCAGAAATCGACGCACCGAAAGTCGAGCATGAGATACAGAAACGCGAAAAAGTCGGGAAGCATTCGTTATTTAACACGACGTTGCATTCCAAGCCAAGCGCACAGCCTACGGAGGTGGACAATAATATCTGTATCGATTTCTGGGAAAATTACGATCCCGAGGAGGTGTGTCAGAATGGTTTCGGGCTGATCGCGTCGCTGGCGTTTCCGATGTTGGCAGTTTGCTATCTGTGCGGCAGTGCCGGTCAGGAGTCGTTATTGTACTGCTGCTTGTGCTGCGAGCCGTATCACCCATTTTGCTTGGAGCAGCCACCTCAAAATATCAACAACGACGGTGAATGTTACAACTGGCTATGTCCGAGGTGTACCATGTGTAGCGCGTGCGGAGAAGCTGACAAACAGAAAATTAATTGCCAAAAATGCCAAAGGCCTTACCATCCGGAGTGCTTTAACAATAAATGGAGGACGGAAGATAGACCAACGGTAAATATTAATAATCATAAATTAGGTTACGATTTCGGATTGTAGGTATGTGCTTCGTGCATGCGATGCAAGAGTTGCGGAATTAATAATATTACAAAATTTATTGGAAACACACCTTTATGCCTTATATGTTTTCGACTACGGAAAAAAGGAAATTTTTGTCCTTTGTGCCAAAAGTGTTATGATGATAACGATTATAATACAAAGGTGAGTATTGTTAGAAACATTATGTTTCTAATTTTGCTAAAAGTTGGTAGCACTATAAGAAGTCAACAAAAATCGTGTATACCTGCCTCCCTCAAACTTGCAGGTATCAACGAATATTGCAAATTATTTTTTCTCTCTAGTACCACAGATAGTTAAGTGGCCAAATCGAAAAACGACTCTGTTTCTTAGTTCTAACGGCATTTTATGAGCTATTTTGGCCACATGGTTTTTTAGATGTAAAAACGTGCTGAATCTGATTCTGGATGTTGCCAGGCCAAATTTCGCGCTAGTTCACAAATACAGCACGATGGCGCCACTATCTATTGTATTGTGTACTATTTAGTATTGAATTGTTTTCCATAATTTATTACTTATATATACGTAAGAGTTGGTTAATTAACTTCATAGCTAGTTCGGAAAATGTAGGAAAATATATCCTGTGGTGATATATAGGGTGTCCCAAAAAAGCTGTGAATTAATTAAATAGTGTTTTACATTTTCCTCGGCAAATTTTGTTTGTTGTTAAATTTTGTGCTTTTTAATAACCGGTGGTAAGTATTTAAGGTTTTTTCCAACTATTAAGTGGTAGAGCAGTTCTAGGGTGTCTCACCATAGAACTGAACTTCGCCCCGTTAGATTACGGAACATTAATTTCATTTTTCATTTAATTTTAATTATTTAGTTTATTATCTATTTGAATGTTTTATTTTATATTTATTTCCTTCTGTACTCCAGTAATCTAATAAATGTCACTTATTATTATGGTCGGTGTTTCTTGTGAGAACTCAGGTCTAGCCTGGTTAACTAATCGCACGGATTAAAATCAAGTAACGATTAGTGTCTGTGTCTGGTGAAGTTATGTAGGGTTCTAAAGAAAAAAAAAAAAAAAAATATTCACACACTCGCATTGGAAATCTACGGATAGTATGTAATTCATACTTACCAACATAGCTATTAATGGCCACAATAGTCAACGCTATCAGGAAAGAAGAAAACAAAACAAAAATATCATTATAATAATTCCTGTAATTTTATTAAATAGAGTTTATTGTGTAAGTGTTTCTTTGGCTTTGCGTTTGGGTTGAATACGAGTGGGTTGTGATAACGTGGTGTGTTTATGTGAAGAAGGAGTTTTGTGTTTTTTAATTGTATTTATGGTGTTTCTTTGTTCCTGAGGTCGTATTTGTGAGGTTGTTTGGGTTTTTGGTGGAGATATTGCAGTATTTTGTGAGCCTGTGGTGCTGTTAAGGTTTTTGCGCTTCGGTTGTATACGAGTGGGTTGTGACAATGTGGTGTGTTTCTGTGAAGAAGGAGTTATGTGTTTTTTAAGTGTGCTAGGGCGTGTAACTTTATTGGGTGGACCTGTTTTTGTAGTGCATGTTGCGTTACTTGTATTTATGGTGTTTCTTTGTTCTTGACGTTGTATTTGTGTGGTTGCTTGGGCTTTTGGTGGGGGTATTACAGTATGTTGTGAGCATGTAGTTCTGTTAAGGTTTTCACGTTTCGGTTGAATCCGAGTTGGTTGTGATAATGTGGTGTGTTTCTGTGAAGAAGGAGTTTTGTGTTTTTTAATTGTGCTAGGACGTGTAACTTTATTGGGCGGACCTGTTGTAGTGCAAGTTGCGTTACTTGTATTTGTGGTGTTTCTTTGTTCTTGAGGTTGTTTTTTAATTGTGCTAGGACGTGTAACTTTATTGGGTGGTCCTGTCTTTGTAGTGCAAGTTGTGTTACTTGTATTTGTGGTGTTTCTTTGTTCTTGAGGTTGTATTTGTGTGGTTGCTTGGGTTTTTGGTGGAGATATTGCAGTATTTTTTGAGCTAGTAGTGCTGTCAAGGTTTTTGCGTTTGGGTTGTATACGAGTGGGTTGTTTCTGAGAAGAAGGAGTATTGCGTTTTTTAACTGTGCTAGGACGTGTAACTTTATTCAGTGGACCTGTCTTTGTGGTACATGTTGCCTTACTTGTATTTATGGTGTTTCTTTGTTCTTGAGGTTGTATTTGTGTGGTTGCTTGGGTTTTTGGTGGAGATATTACAGTATGTTGTGAGCGTGTAGTTCTGTTAAGGTTTTCGCGTTTCGGTTGAATACGAGTGGGTTGTGATACCGTGGTGTGTTTATGTGAAGAAGGAGTTTTGTGTTTTTTAACTGTGCTAGGACGTGTAACTTTATTGGGTGGACCTGTCTTTGTAGTGCAAGTTTCGTTACTTGTATTTATGGTGTTTCTTTGTTCTAGAGGTTGTGTTTGTGTTGTTGCTCGCATTATTGGTGGAGACATTACGGTATTTTGTGAGCCTCTAGTGCTGTTAAGGTTGCTGCGTTTGCGTTGAGTACGAGTGGGTTGTGATAACGAGGTGTGTTTCTGAGAGGAAAGAGTATTGTGTTTTTTAGCTGTGCTAGGCCGTGTAACTTTATTGAGTGAGGGCGTCTTTGTAGTGCATGTTGCGTTACTTGTATTTATTGCGTTTGTTTGTTCAGGAAGTTGTGTTTGTGTGGTTGGTTGAGTTAAGGGTGGAGATATTACAGTATGTTGTGAGTCTAAAGTGCTGTTTAGGCTTTTGCGTTTGGGTTGAATACTAATGGGTCGTGGTAATGTGGTTTGCTTCAGAGGTGAATCTCTGATTGTAGTATATGTTGTATCATTTGTTGTACTTGTTTGTTCGGTAAGTTGTATTTGTGTGTTTGTTTGGGTTAGAGGTGCAGATATTACAGTATGTTGTGTACCGTGTTGTGAGGGAGTGCTGTTGTTTACATGTATATTGTTATGTTATTATTATTATTATTATTATTATATATATAAATGTATATATAAATAAAAATTGCGTGTTTTTCCAATGAATTCAAATCTGCATTTAAAAAAACAAAACCACATCGCATTTTTCAGATGATAACAAAAATGTGACTTTGATATGGAACACCCTGTGTATTATTACATAATATGACAGGTTATTAAATTCTTTATAAAACACTATAGCAAAAATATTGTAAATAACCAACATTTTCAAATTATTGACGATCTCCTAGGACGTAGAGAGTTTATAATTTTGCGGTGCCTGTCCATCTGTCCCGAGATCCCGAGACATTAGCACGATACCTCGAAAACGAATAGACCGCCGATTATGATGAAATTTTGCATTTGGATTCTTTATCAGAGTTATAGATCGGAGTTCGTGAATTGGCAATGTACGTAAAAAAATAAAGAAGGCCCTTTTTGACATCTCCGTTAGTTATAAACCGAATTGCATGAAATTAAATATGGGCATAGTCGAGGGCATAGTTTTAGCCATATAATACACAATGCCAAAAGTTGGGCCTAATCAATTCTACATTCACAGTGCCCTTTTTGAATTGCAAAATCTTTTATTTATGAAAGTATTTAATTAAAATTTGATACATAGGCACTTCGAATAAAAGCAAATCTAACACCAGGTTCAAAATTTGGTTTTTCACATGCTATAGCCACTACCTATAGTAGTATCTCGAGTAGTATTAAATGGCATTAAATGTAAATTAATTACATTAACTTAGCATTAACCACATTAAATTACATTAACTGAATTAACTTGAAATTAACTGCATTTACAGAACATTAACTACATTAAAAGTTAATTTTAATTCATTAACACCGAATTAACTAGGTGGTTTACCCCTCGGTTCCCATGATACTACAACTTAACATGTAGTATCATGTTCCCGCCGACACAATGCAGCGGCGCCACTTGCTACACTCAAATTGTTTATTTACCGCCCGCCAAGATACAGACTTTATTTACAAAAAATATGAGAGAGAGAGGTAAAGGTCTAAATTCATAAAATATAAAATTTTATTTTTCAAAAACAACTTGAGTTTTTTAGGCGGACGCTCTTATGGAAATTTACATTGGGTGCAGTGGGTACAGAAGGGCGTAGAGTTGCATCTTCTCATGATGCTGTTGACGGGGACATTTTGTACCATACATATTGTCTCGCAAATGCGATAAGAGACCTGACAAATCGAATGGTCAGACTAGTCCTCCTAAAAACTTGGTTTTAAATAAATTATGCTATGAACTAAAAGTGCACAAATATCTACAAGTGTCTTGGCGACTGCTTCAATCATAAAAAAAATGAGCAGAATGATGAAGAAATTTAAGTTCCGTTAAAATTTTTGAACGAAATACAGGTAATACATTTGCCGTCAGAATTATCTCTATATGGTTACCGTGTTGTCTGTATAATGTACCTAATATATAAGTTTTGCAATTTTCTGTGCCTCCTGTATGTTTTTTTAACACCTCAATCCGAAAAACTATGTAAAATGCGCCTGGCATAAAAATGTATATATTTGGCCGCCATATTGGCCGCCATTTTGAAATTAGCCAAAAATCAGCTTGGCAACATCCGAATTCGGGTTCAGCAGACATTTTTATCCTTATCAATGCACGTTTCCAAAATGGCTCATTAAATGCCGTTAGACTTGCGATTTATTAACTATGGCCACCCAACTAAGACAACATATACTACAGACGGTCAATGCAATGCTATAGAAATAAACGCAACACCTAATAGAGTACGGTTAGTGTGTTGTCTACCTTGAAGCAGTCGAAATAATTTGTCGTAAAATGTGGTAGACCCACAGAAAACTGTTGTGTGTGGTAAAAGTGTGTAATAGATGGACCCATTTTTGTAAAAATAAAATACATATACTCAAACCTTATTTCCTCGGCTTCAAAACGCCGGCCTTTACGTAGATAAGATAAGCGCTCACTTGTATAACATCATAAATTACATGAAATAGGATACATTATAATTCTTCATTTTTCTCTTTTCTAAACATTTAAAAAATTGATGGAGCGGGTTTGGTTATACAAGGGCGGAAACTAAATTTGGCCTCCACTTCCACATATAAAATTATGAGGTTGGACAAGGAAAGAGTTTATTAGAATAATAAACATAATTTTTGTTTTTCCATAATAAATATATTATTATACCGCACCATAGGAATTGCAATAGTAATTTTTTCATTT